AATTGCGGGGAACCATGCAAAAAACGCATCTTCGCACGGGCAGCCCGTGCGTTGGCCAATTATTTTGCTTTGACGCCTTTTAACCGCCTTTGTTCACATTACTTCTTCGGCCGCTTTTGGGCATGACGCAGTGGGGTATGGTGTGGCTGTCATGCAGAGTAGTTCGATTCCGCGAATAAGATAGCCAGTTCGCCTACGATTATCTCGAGAGTAAATTGGTGCTGGCATATGCCAGACAGTCAGATCCCGGTTTTTATCTGTTATATATACATATATATGTACATGTGTCATCCATGTGTTCCTTTATTGATGAATTCTTGCAACGTAGAGTCTCAATGTTCCGGTGAGCGATATTTATGAAGTGCGATCAGAATCAATCATTTGGGCTGTGAAACAGCTGCCGTGCCTCTGGGATTTATCATCCGAGGATTATCGGGATAGAGCAAAAAGGCGAGAGGGATGGGCCAGCGTGAGCCGCATGCTTATCGATCAGTTTGACAGCAAGGAAGAAGCGGAGCGTCTAAGCATTGGTGAGTATCTATTCCCGCTCGAATTTTTTCCTTTGCGGTGCTAAAATCTCTTGCTAAAGGCTGAAGCGGTGATGTAACACGGATTCACATGAAACGTCTGCTTTTCCTGTCTCTCTTCTGCCACTGCCGCTTCTCCAACTTCTTTTCATAAAGGGATTGATAATTTTTCATTTTCTGAACAAATTCAACCAACTCATGTAGTAATTTCAGCGTTTTAACATTTGAAATAAACGTAGCGGTTTAATCAGATCTTGTTTTGTCTTAGTACTTCTACTTTTGTAGGGACAACGCTGCTGCCGTGCAGAAGGCCGAGGGTTTTACTTTACAGTTAATCTAAGAATCCTCAAAGGAAGGACCTCCGAAAGTCTTGCCAGCGGCTGGTTGATTTTGCCACTCGCTGCTGCGAGAATATTTCCCAGTGCCACGGGGAGTTGTTACGGAGGGACATTTGACTATTTGCTTGCCAGTACAGACCATTTGTTGATGAAAAACCCGATCGTACCAGCAAAGTCGTTTCTCCAGGCAACGATGTCTTTCTTGTTTTGTCGTGTTCCAAACACACGGAGGGCGTTGCACGATGTTTCGTCCATTTTCTGGTGGAGATGGTTCATATGTTCATCACCAGACAACGACTTCTATCTGTGGATGCACATAAAGGATCCGGACTGTTTGATGGCAATAGCCGCTGGTCGCAGAAATTTTAGAGTCTCTCGTCTTTCAGGTGGTCGCAGTAATCGGCATGTCCTTCACGCTGCAGACTGGTCCGAAGAACACGCTGAGTATTGCGACCATAGGCGGATCCAGGGTAGTTTCCTGGGGGGGGGAGGGGAGAGGGGATAAATTTTTCGTCTCGTCTTCTTCCTTCGTCACCACAGCTTCCTCCGCCCCCTCCCGGACAGCTTTCAACCCACCCTCCACTCGCCGC